TGCAAATGAAACTTAAGTCAGTAAAAATACTAAAATAGTGGAAAAGCAAATCTAAAAGGATCTCCGGAGTTTGTAAAAAGCACCCGTTTATATTTAGAACCTAACAGCAATATTAAATGTGCTTTTCGTGGATTTATCCAATGAATCCGCTGTGGTCAAAAACAATTGACCAGAAGCACTGAGTTTCGGAATATTCTATTTTCATCGCGAGAAAGTGATTCTGGGATCGGCAAAATCTCGCAAAATAAAATTTATGGTTCTTGAAAAATCCGAAAATAACCCATGCACCAAAATACATTTTGTGAAAAACGAAACGTTCTCTTTGGTTTAATTTCAGAGTGCGAATGCATTATTTTTCTCGAGTATCATGTTGAGCCAGTAGCTAGCTGTTCCTGCAAAATTGCCCAGCGATATGGGCAAATATTTGCCGAACGTGATAATATAGAAGGATTTTGTAAAGTGTTAAGTTAAAACTTAAAATGCGGCCTTGCGGTCTTCATGCAGCATTTTTGCCTGAGCGTATTAATAAAATCGTTCAGTTTGGCAGGCATGAAGGTGATTAAACAGATGGACCTTTGATTACATTCAGCCAAACCAAACAATGAGTTTGTTACATTTTTCCGGTATTAATTAGAAAGAAAAACATTTCAGAACAATCGTCATGTTTGACCTTGGCATTAGTTAAACTGAGAAGCTATTAGTTAATACTGCTGGCTGTTTCCATTCAAGTATAACTGGTGTTAACTCTCATCAAAATAATGTCTTGGGTGGTACCTATCTACTTTCATATATTTTGATGTTTTTGTCCTTATACAAATAGAGTAATATCAAGCCAAATGTATATCTATTTAAGCCGGGTTATTATTTGTTTCCCGTTATCACAAATCCAGAATCATCATTGATATTATCAGGTCTGATAAGTTATGTTAAGACTAACTGATACTGATAACCTACATAATCTCTTGCAAATACCAATGACTAATTTTTAGGGTGCGGTATTTCCTGAAATTGAAGATGCTTAAGTACTGCAAATAATTTATATCCGATAATGCATGCATAACGGATAAAAACGCATATACGGTATATGTTTTACACATGAGGGCATACTACCAATCATTCTTAAATTCGCAAATAATACGGAATTGTGAACGAGGCTGTGAAGCTTATTACAGGAGAATTTAATCAGCCTCATGTACCTATCACATGTTTGAGACATTTATCCGTATTACTCACGCTTGCATTACCCGTAAGTGTGAGTAGGATTTCGATGATTCTCAGTTCGTATTCAGAAACTTCACTTTTCTGAATGAACTGTCTCTCTCAGAAATGCTGTAACCAGCGAAAGGATATTTTTGCATCCACTGTGCACTATGAGAAAGCCTTGGACCGAATTTCACCCGATATCCTTATTGAAATATAGGGATTTTTTTGCAAATGCAATTGCAGAAAAATCGCGTGAAAACTAAAAACATTTCTAAAATGATGTTTGTTATTAAAAGTAGGCCTGCGTAACACTGTGTTGAGTTGCACTTTTGAGTTGTTGCCGCTCTCTGAGTTAATGCGCTATAACACATCGGTGAATGAGTCATAACTCATTTATTAAAGCGGATTAAAGCTGTACGAAACCCTAGACTGGAATTTTAACATTCGGAGTATCATTTTTTCAGCAACGGAACTGAGTTACTGAGTACCAAGCTATTTGCGCAGCACTGCTCCAACACCTAAAAATGCACTGAGTTACCTTTTCCTGGCTTTTGTCTAAAACGAGAAAAATCGGAAATTTTTAAGAAACTTTAAAATTCTTCAGAGCGATGAGATTTTCAAGGAGTTTTCCAAATAGTTGATCATATGCCTTTGCTTTCTCTGATCGTTTTTTGGAAAATTAATTTTATCGAGAAAAAAACAAGATAACTAATCCTAAATTTGAAAGTGGAAAAGGATGTCAATACTTTTTACGAAACGACGAAGGAGGCGAGTGTTGTAATAAAATTTATTTTAAGATTTTTCGCGGAAAATATAGTTAGATTGTCAGTATTTTTACGTAAAACATTACTTAGAAGAAACAGTAACTTTGCTAAAACTGGAAAATTCTGAAATTTTGAAAAAACTAAAAATATTGTTAATAAATGGCCCTTAAAATAAATCGAAGAATAACTTGCCAAAAAAGTAAATTTTTTGCCAGCACCGGGACTGAATTACTGCGCCGGTGCGTTGGGTTGACACACAAAGCCAGTCGCGCAGCACTGCTCCAAAAATTTCACTAAGTTACCCAGGCCTTATAAAAAGTGCGTCCTTTAAGCCTCTATCCGGTATTGACAACTGGAGGATTGCAGTTGAATCGGCTCTCTAAATATGAGCCAATTTCTAAGAGAGGTTTTTGAAACTTGTATTATTTTAGAATTTTTTTTATGTTGCGTGAAAGCCAAAACATTTCTGGAATAATGTTTGAAATAAAAAAGTGCATCCTTTAAACCTCTATCCGGTAATGGCAACTAAAGCCTTCCAGTTCAATCGGTTCTCTCAATATGAGCCAAATTCTAAGAGCGGTTTTTAAGGCGTGCACTATTTTCGATTTTTTAAATTTTGCGTGAAAGCCAAATCATTTCTGATATAATGTTTGGTATAAAAAAATCCGTCCTTTAAGCCTCTATCCCGTAATGACAACTAGAGCGTTGCAGTTGCGTTGCAAATCGGTTTTCAAGTCTAGCATTATTTAGTGTTTTAATACACATCATAGAAGAATAGGTTCAATTCTTGTGATCCGCTAATTCGGTTTTTTTATAACCCGGTGCTTCTTGATTTTTAATGATTTGATTGAGAGTGCTCGGGAACTTTTCAATTAAATGAGAACAATCCACTGCAAAGAGAACCTTAATTTGAAGTTGATACTTGTGATATATGATGGTTCAATGTCTATTGCTGTACGAAGTGTAGTCGGAGACTCTGAAGGTCAGGATGTTGAACCAACTGGAGGCATTCGAAATGTGACTCCACAGAACGAACTATGCTTCATATTCTATGGACAAATGTTGTAAACGAGGCAACTGAACAAGCAAACATCGAATGGCAACTATTAGCTACCATAAAATTCCGAAAGACATCATATACCGGGCATGTTTTGAGAAGTGATAAAGATCGTCATCTAAATTTTATACTCTTTTATATTATATACTTTTTTGAAGTTCACCCAACTTTAAGAAAATCGCACTCAAAAAGAAAACGAATAAAACTGTTGTTGCAACTTCAACCATCATTTAGGTGGAGCCAACTTTTAGGCTTATTTATTTCGATAATCTTCTATTTCAACTATTTTTTTGAAATCTGCAATAGACTAAATAATTAGGACCCAACCATTGCAATGAGAGCCCATTATTTATCCATTGCGGAAACGTTTTATAATTTACCCTGCTAGAACGGTCACAGATTTGAAACAACCGCAAGAAACTAAAAATGTTCCCAATTGAACGGGTAATTTATTTTCGGTTAAAAAACGGCCAGAAGAAACGCTACACGAAAAAAATGTTAATGTGCAAGTGTTCCGAAGCTGATTACCTATTTCGCTGTGTATTTAAATAAAATTTATTGCAAATTTTGAAAACATTTTTGTCTGTTGGATTCACATAGGAGGTCACTATGCCTTGTGGCAATTTTTGCTTAAAATATTTAAAATTTAACGGTTCTATAAATTTTTAAGAAGTCAATTTAGAACATCGGACTTCACGAGAGGCAAGAACCTTAAGCAAATTTGCAGGGACGACATAGTTATTATGTATCAGCAAAGCTTTGAAGAAGAATTTTAAATAATTATTATTTAAAAGTATCCGCTCTTAATGCGGGCAGAACAAGTAAGTTGAATGGAAAATTCCAATTTAGTCAAGAGAAATATTTTACCGCTTACCTGCTTTTTTTCGTCAGAAGAGCATTTAGCGCAATTTTACTTATATAAAATTATGAGTAACCGATTTCTTTTTCGACTCTCCGACATTCTTATCAAAATCAACCTCAACACTGCCGGAAAGTTCCGGGGAAAGAAAGGGATGTGACATCACAAAAGTTATTATTAAGAATCCTTCTATATTATTATTAAGAAGCTATTAAGAGAACATCGAAAAACTCGCAAGATCCGTAAGCTTGCAATCGAAGGATTATCGGACGTGGTGAATTATGGACGGATGGTTGGAAAGAATCCAATTAAATATCTCGAATTATTCTATTCTGCAGAGACTTGAATTGATTTTATCAACTGAATGTCTCAAATCAATTATCCACAGGGCGATGCAGATGATTACTTTCGCATTTATTGATATCAAAGGGAGATACGAGGCCTAGTATTCCCATAAATCGCGTGAATCCATAAAAAATGTGCTTAAAGGTCGCAGTATTAGAAAATGGAGATTGGGATTTCCATAGCATTCTGCTAAAAATGTCAGTATGAATTCGCTCAAATATTCCGAATTGCGACTAAGAAATGTGAGATATTAATAATCACTCGATTATAAAATAAATTCGAATATTTCATTACCCGAAATCTTTTTATTAAAAATTAGAATATTCATTTAAAACGCTTAAAATTGCTTTTAATACAGAGCCCTAATTATCACCGCCAGTTGAGTAACAATCAAATAAACTTGTACAAAGTGTGTTTAGAAAATTAAGTCGTTTCTTTAATTGAAATATACTGCAATAAATAAAATTCTTGTTATTCTTTGTGGCTGGTAATTTAAAACAAAATTTTACTAAATCCTGATCTCAGCTTCATGAGTCATCATAGCTAAGCAACATCGATTATTTCTCTAGAAAACACACTAATAAATAAATTAACAGGGCGTAGGTAATAAAACATCTCTCTAAACATAGTAAGTGTTAATTATCACTTACGCAATAAAGCATCTAAAGGAAAGAACAAACATACCACTTGTTTTTGCGACCACATACAATGTTATTCACCTGCACATGACTTAATTTTTTCCAATTAGTGACCTAATTTATTTTTGTTAAAGGTTTATTTCCTCTTATGAGCCATGCTGCCATGAATATACGTCCAGCATTGTTGACCATATACGAGACCCATTTCGTTCCATTAGGAGATCGGCTAAGGCCGGCTTTAAGTGGATTTCTTAGTGGGATTCTTCCGGGGTTGGATACAGGAACCGACCACTTTGATAGGTAGGAAGCGAACGCGAGAAAATGGGGCTAAGTTAGTAATAACGAATTTTGTTGTAGAACTAACAAATTATTAGAAGACGTTTGTGATGGGGTGGGACCGCCCTATTTCTATACCTGCATATGGCAATGTGTGGCAAATAACAGTCCTGTAAGATTGCCGGCGGTTACCTACGTTTTCGCTCATTATAGTCGAAAGTTGCCCATGGAGGACCAACTCTATTTAATGGGACATGATATTGGATTAATGGTATGGGCATTTTTCAGGAATGTGACACAATTAGCATGAATTTATTGTGATTATGATTGTAAAATTGATTATTTATAAATACTACTAGAGTAGCTTTAAATAAAGCAACACACTTGAAGATTGATGATTGATCGTGAAAAAAATCCTGAAAACGATTAAGAAAACTTTTTCTGCAATGTTTAGTTATAACATTTTTCATTGATTCATTTAAATTGTTTTAGTTCAAGCCTCACATAATAAATTGTTGCTATATTGAACTGGTATATTTTCGTTTCAGGTGTCAGGTTTATGTGCAGCAGTTCAAGATTCGAGCGTGCTGGTACAAAGGTCCGCTTTAGACCTGCTGATGGTGTGTTTTCCCATGCAAAACAAGCAACTTCTTTACGCTGACATGGTGCGTTTAGTCACCGCAGCCCTGTCCACAATACTAAGAAGGGACATGTCCCTAAATAGGTCTGTATTCATATCACATTTTATTAATACTGGGAAAGAGTCAAAAGTACTTCCCAATCAGCGTAACGCGCCTTAGCACAAGCTGATTAGGAAATAATGTCACAACATTGAATTTGAATTAGTCGACCTTGTTGATTATTGTAAATTACCGAAACGCTACTGGGTGATTCAAAATATTGCGTTATTGGGCTTGGCTGAGGAATGCAAAGATAGTGGATCACAAAAATATTCGAACACTCCGCGCTTAGTTGAATTTCTTAAACAGTACTAGAGTAACGCATTGAAAAATGTTTTAATAACAAACAAACCAATTGGAAAAAGAAGAATTTTATTTTACTACACTACAACAATATCGGATTTCTTCTAATAATATTAAAAATTCTTAAGTGGTATAAACAATTGATGCGCTTTTTCGCTGCAGTTAAGTAGGCATAGTTATATTCGGTGCAATGAAAATTTATTGCAAAAGAAAAGAACTAGAATTAAGTCTGGACTTAATTCCATTATATTAATAATAATAAAAAATCGCGGAAAAATTTAACGTAAAAAAGGTGCTGTAGTATTTAGTTATAAAAATGAGATTGTATTATTCACGTAGACCGTTCAAAGACGTTACATTCAAAATAAATGAGGCTTATACCGAAACGAGTAAAATAAAATCTTAAAGTTAGTGCCCCACAACTTCCAGTTAAAAGGAAAAAGTATCTGTTTACACTGTTCGCAGATGTATTCAGGCCAATGAATATTAAGCCTTGGCCTGTACTGAGTTTGGTAAAAAATAAGTGTTTTCGTCAACACAGGTCGAAGTTCAAGATGTTTGGGGTCGGATGGACCACAAATGTTGTGGGAAAAACCATATGAACTTCAAAATAAAAGTTTGTCTGCAACAGTAAAACACGGCGGGTGATCTCTTATGGTATGGGGGTGCATTGCCTCATTTGGTGTGGGCGAGTTAGTTTTTATTGATGGAAGCTTGGACAAAATGGGTTATTTAAAAATCTTAAAAACTAATTTGTTTCAAAGTGCGTCTAAAGTGGGAATAAGGGAGAATTTTGAATTCTATCAAGGCAATGATTATATGCATAGTGCCAGGATTGCCCAGGAATGGACGCTTTATAAATATCTCAAATCTCTCATACTACTCATAATATTACTGCAAAATTCAGTTGAAGCAAATTTGACTTGAAGAAGGCAAAGTAGATAGATTTTTTTCCAGAGTCATATTTTTTTCTGTCCGAACGTCGCACATCTGCGTTGGAATAAAAAGGTAGACCCACCAAATACTAATCGTTACTTTTGATTGTTCTTAATTAACAAAATGTAATAAATGTGCGAATACTTTTACAGATATAATTTTATTGATTAATTTGAAAGAGCTTTTTGAAAACAATTTATTTCCAAATTAATACAAACAATAGATTTAACTTGTAACCGAACCTTAACTATGACTTATGACTCTTAGACCGTATATGTTAAGACTGACTATCTTTAGACTGAGACTATCTGAGACTCAAATCTTGTGACTTCTGATCAAACATGTAATGACTGAATGCTCGTTACTGCTGTGGCTTCTTTTACAGTTAAATCGTGCTGATCATAGCAGAAGCGATACTACGTCTTATTTTGAAATAATAGTCGGCATAAGTGACCATATAATTATATTCAAACAATAAAAAAAAACATTTCATATTCGTGGAGAAATTCAACTAAACGCGGGGTGTCCGAATATTTTTGTAATTATCTGTAAATACATATGTATAGATAAAAAATTCCTTCCTAAAAGAAAATTTGCACTTTGCCGTTGAATTTGAAGAATTTTTATCTTGATGTAATAATTCCTTTCCTTAAAGTATAAATGATTGATGAAATAAAGGGGCCCTAATGCCGCTTCAACTTGAACGCTTAAGTTTCTGCCAAGAATGGCGCAAACTGATTATAGTCGAAAGTGTTTAAGATCGGTGCTCGTTTTCTTAGGTAAATTTGGCTTTCAATTGCCCTGAAACGTAAAATAGCGTGGAAAGAACAGATGTACTTACCCCGTTTTTCGGGGAGACTGTACTGTGCGTTCAGGAGGATTTTCAAGTTATTTCCGCCTAATTCAAAAGCCGGAAAAAGTCTCTGGAGGGTATCTAAATAGAGAACACACTTGAGTATTTCGTATCCGATCGCGCACTTTCTTTGTAGAAGAAACTTTATGGATTTTTTATGATAGAATTACATTTTTTCGAGTGCGATAACACTTGTCATTTATCAACGATTTTACAGGATTGTTAGTTTTAGTGGCCCCTCATCTCATGACAGATGGAACGAAATAAGATGTTTATCTCTGTTCTATAACGAAGGGTAAACAAGGATGCTGAACATACTCATGGCAAATGCCACTATAAAATACATAGTTACGTAGTCAAATAATATGCTGTTTTCTCTGTTCTATCACGAAGGGTAAACAAGGATGATAGATATATTAACGAGCAAATGCAACTATAATATGCATAGCGAAGTAGCCAAATAATTTATTGTCTCTATTCTATACGATGATAAGAGACAAGGATAAAGATAATAGAATGCTACTATAGAATTTAACATTTTTTAATTGGAAAATTATCGGATAATTACGACGTATTTCTGGCAAAGTAGTTGAAAATATCTCGTTTTTTATATTGATTGAATTGTATTGATGGGAAAAAGAAAGAGGGATGGCTATCCATCTTTTTTCCATGGCAAAAATCGAATCAATTTTGAGAAAACCTTAATGCTTTTCGGAGAAAAACGAGATAAATGTATCTTGTAATTTTGCGCGTAAGAGACTTCCAGATTGTCAATATTTTTAAGTGAAACTATAAAATAGATCGTTTTTGAGTAGAGTAAAGCAAGAAAAAAATTAAGTCAAAACGAAAAAACCACCTTTTTTTACAAACTCTACAGTCTTTAGAGAGTAACTAACTCGCTTATTCTGTTTGTTTTTTGATAAAAAGTTGTCTGATTTTTGTCCCAAATTTGAAGCTGGAGACGAATTACACAACTTTTTACAAAACGACGAAGGAGGCGAGCGTTATAATAAAATTAATTTTATAATTTTTCGCAGCAAATATCTTAAGATTGTCAGAAAATTGTAGACAATTGAGCGTTGAGACGAAAGAGTAACTTTACTAAAGGTGGAAAATTCTGAAAAAAACTAAAAATATTATTAATAAATGGCCGTTAAAATAAATCTAAAAGAAAAGGTTATTAACATTTTCCCAGCAAAGGAGCGAGTTACTGCGCCGATGCCTTGGGTTGAAGGTTGAAGCACCAAGACATTTGCGCATCACCAACACCTAAAAATTAATTGAGTTACCCAGGCCTAGCTCAATGTATTTCTGAGATATGAGCAAAATGTGTCGGGTTTGAAATTATGATCTTATCTTGTACGTTTTTGTCTAATACCCAAGTTTTCCCTTTTGTGTAAAAACAGCCACTATTTTCACACTAAAGTTCTATTTTGAGAGATAAATTTCATCGGGTTTTTACTTTTCTACCTAGGAAAATAAGAACGAGCGGTGTAGCTCTAATGTTTCCTGAGATATGAACCAAAAGGCGGCATCATGTTAGAGCCGATGGCCAATTTGTCGCGTAAAACTAAAAAACAAAAAATTTGCTGTTTGGGTTAAAACATCGAAAATTTCCGAAGTGATGTTTCGCTTGGTGAGTTGGTAATTTTCTGTCCAATGATGTAGAATTGAGCGGGCTAACACAATCTGTTGACACAGATATGCGCATAAAGAGATCGTTTCAGCTTGGACTGAAAAGGTTGCAACGCACTGAGTTTTTGAAACTATCAACTTTCGGTTAAGTCCATGTTTCTCATTTCCCATTGTTAATAAAGCTGCTTTCGGATCCGTATCAGTGTATTCACTTGTACACGGTTAATGATGCCACCAACCGAAAAGTTGTGATTATAGAAACATAAACAACAAAACATCCTACTGTATCATTTGCTTGCTAAGGACATTGTTTATTATTTTCAGACGCCTGTATTCGTGGCTTCTCCAAATCGAATCACAAAACATTCCTCTACTCCAAATCGATGGTGAACAAGCAGATGATATTCCTACAGCCCAAACGCATCCCATCGCTTACGACTTACTCAATGACGCAATTAAAGATATCCTGAAAAAGACCAGCACCAAAGTACCAATTGAAGTAAAATCTTATCGTCTATTGACGTCGTTGTTCGAAAAACCGCAAATTGGGCCAGTTATTCTTGATGGCATCCTGTACGATGTGTTTCGCACTTTGTATTTGTCTTGTTTGAACATGCAGAAGCATCGGAATCAAACGGGACGGTGTGTATCGTTTAATGGGGATTTGAAAAGTCTCAAAGCGTATGATATTGACTTGAATAAGCAATTTGTCAGCAAGAACTGCCAGGAGTTGGTGAAAAATGCCAATTTACTGTTCAACACCCTGCAAAGCTACTACTTATGGTCCTACATCGAGAAGCTCTATGAAGAAGCAGTCGCGAATATAAAGCGCTACAAATACAGAGACCGTTGCCAAGTGAATGATATAGGAAGTGGAACACCTTATATTCTGGAATTGTGCATTCTCACCGATTTTCTCTTGGACATAATCCCGATAGAGTCGTATGCGGACAGCACTTCAAGCATTCTCCCAAATCTGTTCAATAAAATTATCAAATCACTCAATGCACATGTGGGGGAATTGAATCACCATGAAATCTTCAAAAGCTTGGAATTGTGCACGAAAATTCTCGCGAAAATTCAACCGACTACGATGACCCAAATTCAAAAGCAAATAGAGGAAGAACGAATTGCAGCTGAATTATTAGAAAAATCTGCCTTAAATCAAGGCAAATGTGAAGATGGGGAACCGAGAACAATTGAGAAGAGCAAATCGGACTCAAAGATTAGCGAAAACCTAAACGGATTCGCTGATAAGCACGAGCTGACTGTGGATGACTTGGCTAGAGAAAGGTAATGCAATAAAACTCCTCAATCTACAGTATAATCTAATTTCCATTGATGCAATTTTAGGTCTTACAGCAACCAATTTTCAAAGAAAAAAGACAAATCCAGTCCCAAGATAGAAAAAAAGTCAAAAAATAAAAAATCCAAATCCAGCTCTAAATTATACGAGCTTAAGAACGACGACAATGACCAGTCAATAAGCTCGACCTCTGAAGTTGAAATGCCCGAAACGTCGTCCAAAGAAAATACGCCTCCTGCCCTATCAGTGACAACAAAATACGAGAACAAGCACTTTTTAAACTGTTTAGAGCAGTACAAGAAGTTCTTTGTCTCCTTTATCAAGTGCAAGATCTTGCCTGCTACAGTAATTACAGATTTTTTCGCATCCCTCGTTTACGACAAGCAACAAAGGAGCAAAGACTTGCAATTATTACTAGATCAGCGGCTTTCCAACGAAAAGCACCAATTTACACCAGTGGACTACTCGATGAAAATTCAAAGCGATTTAAAAGTTCCCAACATCAGTTCGGACGAAAATTCGAATTATGAACCTTCTATGAGCATAGCGGCTAATATTCTTTTGGAGTTTTGCACCTTTCCCAATCTCCTGACCGATTCGAACGAGAAGAAAATTCACAGTTGGCTTGAAGCTCTGATTGTGGTGGCCTGTTGCAAGGAAGCTTCCCGGGAAATTCAGCTCACTGCCATGAATACACTCTTAGAAATATGCAGTCTATCGAAGAATCAAAATTATTTGAAACTGTACGAAAGTGAGAAAAAAATTATTATAACTGGGATTTTGGAGTATGGGCATGTCTATTATGTCGAGGAGAATACGTTGAGCATTGAGGTAAGCACTCGTAGTGATAATGGTAAAATAACTGAACATGTGTGAAATGAACAAGGCGAAATCACAAAGGCCTGTATTAGAAAGAGAAGAAACACCTCGTATATAAGCAAAAGGGCTGAAGCTAGTGTGGTTTTTCTTATTCAAACACATACATTCGGGTATCTGCCTGGTCCCATTTATTTATTCGTGGACAAACACAAAATTGGCGAGTTCAACTACCGTTGGTGGCGCTGCAAAACGTCAAATTACTCGTTGTCGAGTGATAGCTGTGACTTGTCAGACTTATTTATTGAAGTTGATGACATTTATAACATAAAACAATACTTACATACTTTTCGATCTGCTTCTATTGCTTTAAAAGCTTGCAAAAGTTGATTAGAACAAAACAAATCAGAATCAGATGTAAACACCAATGTCAACAAAACAAGGTTTGCGAGGTCAAACGTCCAGACGCCCCTGGTGGCTAAAATTACACTACAAGCTAAGTAGTAATTTGACACTTGTTTTGTTGACATTGGTGATTACATCTGATTGTGATTTGTTTTGTTCTAATCAACTTTTGCATGCTTTTAAAGAAATAGAAACAGATCGAAAAGTGTGTATGTTTTTTTTTTATGTTATAAATGTCATCAACTCAATAAATAAACAAGTCTGACAAGTCTCAACTGTCATTCAGACAACGAGTAATTTGACGTTTCGCAGCGCCACCATCGCTAGTTGAAGTAGCGAATAGTGTCTAAAATAAGACGATTTACACTCACGTACAGGGTGTTACAAAATTGAAAAGCATTGGAATCTAGTAAAGTATAAGAGATATGAAGTCGGTTAAATAGAGCAAAGTTGTGCATTTTGAAACTTAACAAAATTATGATTTAAAGGTTTTCAGATATTTAAATATTGGACTTTTCTGCAGAATATCATACTTAACGTTCTATTATCAAAGACTGTTAGTACAGCCCTTATTTAAAATTAATTGTAATACCACGGACAAGATTTAGAGATCAGTATTCCCGAATTAAATCAAAATCCCCGAAGTTTTATTGGAAATAAACTAAAAAATAATCAATAACCATTAACTGTGTATCAATTTATACAGGGTGGTCCTCAATTAATGCGACAAAAGTATTGCATTTTAGACAAATTTGCCTTGTCGGAAAGTTAATAGTTTTCGAGATACAGGGTGTCACAGTGTAACTAATATTTTCCTTTATTTTTAATAGATTCTAAGCCAGTTTTACTATGACCATAAAAATTGTGTTTGGGAGTTTTTTAGATCGACAAATCCAAATTTTGTATTACGTAGCTTGTAGATCCTAGAGAGCGCTAGCTATAATAGTCTGGAGCCATCAGACTATTATGGCTCCATCAGGCATTATGGCATCATCATTAAACATCAGAATTTGAGTTTTAAAAGATCGCTTTTTTGCCATGTTTCGTTCTGCGATACTTTCTAAACAAAAAATGTGGACTTCACCACACCATCACCTTCTCTCACCTTTTTCGAGATATTTCAGATTGAAACCTATACTGATTTTTGAACGAAGTAATTCAAATTGGATCTCTAAATAAAAGAAATATTCTAAACAAATTTTCAATAAAGCAAAACTTAACAAACATTAAACAGTATTTATTTAGGCACCTTCAGAACTATTTTAAACTACTTTTTAAAATCAGCAAAGGTTTGGAAAATTAGTATTTCATAAAAACTGTTGAACCTAAATTACTCTTCGATTAATTTATTAATCTTAAATGCTTGCTGTATTGATAAAAAAAATGTTGTTTGGGAAATCATCTAGCATTTAAAATTATCTTGCGAATAATCAAAAACCATATCGCGCATTTCTCCATTTGAAAATAAATGTCAGGGCATTATCAACAAATTCAAAGTAAAAGTAGAAGGTAAAATATATTTTCTAGCATTTAACTGACTAGAGGTGTGCAAGGTTCCACCGTTGCGGTTCCACTTGTATTAGGTTTCAAAATGCGGTTCTAAAGTAACATGTTACTTTTTTATATAAACATGTTTTTATGTAACATGTTATTTTCAATTTTTTATTAAAAATTTGCAATGATAATGGTACAAACAGTGATGATTAATAATGATTTAGTTAAAGTAAAAGACTGATAATAAAATAGAATGGTGTAAATAAAATATACGCTTTGCATGCGAATATGTTTAAAAAGCTAATTTTCATTTAAAAATAAATTCATATTAAATAATTTTTTGGCGTATGCTTTTTCTAAGGTAGTTCTTCGCTCGTTTATGACAGTACCGTTGGAAAATAATCTCTCGCATGGACTAGAAGTACTAATTCACCTGTGTTTTTTGGTCCATTCCAATCCAATTTGAGTTCACACATCAACATCACTAGATGTTTCAATGTGAAATATTTCGAAAAGGGTCAGATATATCAACTTGAAACAAGTACACATTTTAGATATTTCCTAAATACTAGGAAATTTGAATTTGTCGTTCTAAAAAACTCCCGAAAACTGATTTTCATGGTCCTGGCAAAACTAGTTAAGAGTATGAAAAATAAAGGAAAATTTTGCGTATCTCGGAAATTAGTAACTTTCAGATAAGACAAATTTGCATAAAACGCAACATTTTTGTCTAAACTCTGTCAGTGAATTTTGTCACATTAGTTGTGGACCACTCTGTATATGTAAGTAGAAAACCTAAAATAATAACAAAAACATTAAATTTTGTTGGACATTTTCAGCGATCTAAATATTCAAAAATATTTCCGTTCTTAGTGCATCCCCACAGAGTAAAAAAGGAAAACATATAATTTGTGAATATTTCGTTTGCCTTGTTACTCAAAACAGTTTGAGCATTTGCTTATTGTTATGCTATTAATTACGTGTGTCTTATTAGGTCGTACCTACTCTCAAACTTATCTTAAATCTAAATACTTTTAAATCCGTTGTTACAGACAGTTTTTAACAATAAAAGATAAATATGATATTGCAAAGCATCGGGTAATATTTGAAGAAAAAGTACAATTTTATTACTGGCGTCCGTAGAATTCCAAAAACCGGTGTCAAGCATAGAGGCCTGTATTTGAAAAAATTAGTTGATGATGGTGACCCCCAAACGAAGTATTAAAATCTAAATCTGATTATATAATTTTGTAGAGAGAAAGAAAAATACAAATTAATTTCACCAAATTTCGGTTTTTTCGAATATTTCTGGAAGTAGGAGGAATTTCCCAATGATTACAACTGCATACATCCGTTTTTTTTTTTAATTTCTCAAGTTATACATTGATAGAGTACTAAAGCTTTCAGAGTGTAGTTTCGTTTTATTCGCGCTTACCTATTTAGTTTCTATAAAACACCTTCAAACTTCCAAGCTACAGAATATTTAGCGATTAATCAAACTTGGCCTTAAAATATTTAAGAGTTTAGTACTGAGCTAATAACTCGTAACATGAAACTTTCCAGGAAATGTCCAGAATATTGTGGACCCTTCTGGGGACAGTTAAAAACCAGAAGCAGCTAATGGTTTGTGTGACCCTCCTATACCAAATCCATAATACGTTCGATAACAAGCTTTTCGTTGAGAATGTGATTGGTCAATGTCTGTCTGATGAACATGTGACTGCGTCCTACATAAAACAGTTTTGTATGCTGTGGCATTTGGGTCGAGATCTTACTATCAAGCTGCCGCCAACTAAGAGCTGCACCAGAAGTTTCGACAGGTGACTAAGAAAATTGGGAGGATTAGCAATAGACTTATTTAAAAAAATATTTTATTGCAGGTCCTTGTTAAAGCTCCTGGATATGTTGCAATCTAAAGAAAAACCCGCTATTCAGTTGCTCGCTAACTCCTTTCTAACTCACAGTCTGTTGCAGAGCGACATTCCACGAATACTGAATCCCATTTTATTAAAACTGCTCGCTACTAACACAGCAAGGGTTTCAATTAGACACGTGAACATCCAGGATGGAGACGTCCAAAACGAACAGACTGACCAAGACAATCAGAAATTGGAAGAATCTCAAACAAAAAAAATTTACGCGGTCAGCAACGTTAATGGTAAGACAGCTTTTTAAATTGAAATCCTTACAAAAATCACTTTTTATAGGCAACGTGATGTACCATGTGACCGACAGTCCCAGACCGAAATCGCCCAAAAAGAAGTGGTTTACTTTCTCGAAAACCGGAAAAAAATATGCATCGGCTATCAATATGGCAACCATCCTGATGGAAGACACCAACAGCATCGTGACCAAGAAAAACAAGAACTTCAAAGAATACACTGTATTGCCCGTTTTAGACCCACAGGCGAAAGGAAATGTTAAGTTAATCATCAACCCTCTAAGCGTCAAGGAAATCTACCCGATAGGGTTGGAAGGTTCATATGCTCGGAAGACTTCGCACAGCTCTTTAGAAAGTTTGTCGAGCAACGACAATACTATCAGTAATGATGATTCAATCGACAGGAAAATATACGGGAAATCAGAATCATTGCCGGGTATGTAATTTTAAACGCTTAGGCCAGGTTTAAACACTGATAACTGCCAAGACAATTACTTGATCAGGTACCAGATAAAAATGTCTTGTTTCATCCCAACTTATGTGTGAGATAACAAACACACTGCATTGGTGACGTTTTTCCAGCGAAAGGAAGCCTGGAAAAGTTAATGTCTAAAATTAAATGCTGGATTTAGTCCACATTGGAAGCAGAAGAATTGAAAAATGAAAATACGTTCCATATGGCAGACGCGGATTCATGTTTTCAAAACCTTTTTGTTGCCCATTTTGCCTCAAAATCATTTTCCTTTAAAAACACGAATTTTTTCGTCACGTTTTCTATTACTAAGTTTCTCTTACACTTGTAGACTGCGTCCAGTTAACTTCGTTAATCGATTCAGAATATTTTTTTTTTTGATAAAAGAAGTAATATTTGCGTATGGCACTAAAGAGTCACAGCTTCACATCCAAAGAGCTGCAGATTGCCGACCCGCTCTAGGTAATAGCTCTTTCTATCAAGAATAGAATTTGTCTCTATTGTGAAACCAGAACAGTTTTATTACTCTATATCAGAAGACGTGAGGAAATTCTGTCTTTTTGAAAGAAAACATTTTGAGGCAAAATACCCAACAAAAAAGTTTTGAAGTATGAAGGAGTGAAAATTTAGTTAACACCCTTCTTAGGCGAAACCATCTCTTAAATTCTGCATCGTCCAAAGTGCTAAAATGGTCCACATGTCTTTTATTGCACTCTTGTATTATATGGTTTTCGACTCATTAGATTTTCAAATTTGTTAACTGCTTTTGCTAGAAAAATTTCCCCGAAAACGTCAGTAAACTCCAATGTAGTAGCAGAATAATTTATCTGCCAAATACGCAAGGTATCAGCCGATTTGTATTCGTCATAGCGTGAACATTTGCTTGTCTTTTTGCTCCGCTTGTTATCCGCCAGATTTCGTTATCAGAAAGTGAATTATCGGCCCTTAAACTTCTCATTAAAATAGTAAAAATTGGATATTTGCAGGTGATCGTGATAGTGGCTACGATTCCTTGAACCAGCAAAGAAAACAGTCGGAAATCCTCAGCGCTTTAGTGGACAATGGCAAAAAGGCCCTTCTAGAGAGCATGGAGCCGATATCGAATGGAATAAAAACAGTGAAACTGCCAAAATCCCGAAGTTTTGACGAAAAAAGCAACATCAAGCCAGACGAAAATTCTCTGGTTCAAAGTTGGTCGTATTGCATCTCGGATTCAGCTAATTTACATGGAGAACTCGAGCTGAGCAAGAGCGCAGAAGAGTTCTTTAGAGGCAAAGATAAGGAATATGCAATAGTGACGGGAATTCTTAATAAAATTCTGGATGATGTATGCCAGAAAGTAGATGGCGATAGTTTGGATCCTGATATTCCACATTTTTCAAGCAGACCAAGCGACCTGGACTTGAGAAATAAAATCAACACGTCCAATTCAAAAAACTTTGTTTTATACCCGATACATTCGCACATATGTTTATACTATGAGCTCTTTGATTCGAATCAAGTGATGTATGCTTTACATACTCTGAAACATTGCATCCTGTGTAACCCGCAGCTTTTCATTAAATGCTCAGCCACCAGCGGGATTAAGAACATGAAAAATAATGACATTCTCTACCTGTTAGCCAGGCACAGGAAAAGTCTTTTAGGACAAGGGTTTAATGGCGAATTGACCACCGAACATATCAACTTTTACAGAGGCTACATGTTCTTGGATGTCATTTTATCGGTGTGTCTGAACTATGCTCGAACGTTTTTTCCATTTTTGGACGACTCAAGTCCAATGCCAGACGAAATGGAAACCAACATTAAAATCCAATTAGAGGCCTTAGACATTTTGAACACGATAGTAAAAAATCTGATCACGATGATCGAGGAAAACTGCAATAAAGGATTTTCTAGTTATATTGCTGATCTGTTGGTCAAGTGTAAAATACAGAAGACTTTACTGCACTGCTTGCTGACTTCTGTAAGAAATTTCGACGAAGATATGACTTTTGCTGAGGATATTTTACTGTTTAATAACTTTCAACTATGCAACTCGGAAAACAGAATGGGAGAACATGTGGAGGCGTTCCAAATCCAACTCTTAAGGCAAGTTTTTGGGTATGTCGCTTCTCGATTGATATTAAGTTATTTTTTCATCTGCAGGTTAATTCATTCTTTGATAATACTGGAACACTCGGTGTTCCCTTCAACAAAACCGACAGAACAGGCAACGCCCGAACCTAGTGGAGGGTCCATTAATGGAGAACACCTTAATTATACGCCCACTGTTTTGATACCCAAGCAAGCCATTTTTCTATCAGCTATTTTAAGCGCGCTGAGGAACGAAAATATGCGAAGCATGCATGAGAAGTGGCTGAATATGGTTACTTGTTGTCTGCCATATTTCGGAGATAATTTGAAGCAAATTTCCATTAGTGTGATTCATCAGGTAATGTTATTCAAAGTTGCGATTAAAGATATTCAACTTCTGCATAAGAATAGTTTTGTGTCAAAGCTATTTTGCTGGTTAGAAAAAATGCTGTTCGTCCCGGACCTTTTTCTCAGAAGCTAAGATCAAAACAGCACTTTCAAATTTCGCATTTCATACATTACAGGATATTCTACTGTTGACTGATTTAAAATAGGATAAAATGTTCAATCAATTTTCTGAAGATTACGATTTCTGGCAATATTTAAGGTACGGTTTCGGTGGTGCGATTGGAGATTGCGACTGGGTGCTGCGTTTAACTCTATCTTATAGAGAATTTCATCATAACGAACAAACTTATAAGTACATATACATTTTTCTCCAAAATGCATACTTCCCGAGTTATATGTGATTGTTTCCGAAAAAAGCGCGATTTGCCCAATTTTTTTTCTATTTTTCGTTGTTGAATGCCTCGATATTTTGAATACGTATAGGTACTATTCCCGAGCGCTTGCAAAAGTGATCTAAGTGATCTAATCTGTAACCCTCCTGGCCTAGATTTACTTAAAAAGGCTCCAAGCCTGCAAAAAAAAGTATTGAATGTTATTTATTGATGCAAAAAACCAGTCTTGATCCATTCTGTATTTGTAGGGGTCTTGGGAATCAAAGATTGAACAGCAATAAATCAAATTTAATAAGACAAATAATAATAATAAAATGTTTGTAGATTTGCAACAATATCGAAGAAATCGCCACAAACTACAAAAAAACCGATTTAGATGACTTTGAATTAAGCGCCGACTACACAGTGACCCAACTAGAATCTCTAACGATTTTGTGCCATTACTGTCTTTTGGATGCTTCGCAAACAGTTAACCAAAACGTTCCTGCTTCCACATCGACTTCCGCTGTCTCAAACCCGGGGGAAATTCTAAATAATTTAGTAAATGTGTTTTTCTCGCCGTTGAGTTCCGATATAAATTTTTCCGCTAAACAAAACTCGGATCATTATCAGAACGCCCGCAAAACCATACTGAGTCACATGCCAAGGATTATATCCAGTGTGGCAAAGTTATGGCAAACTGTTGTTGGTATGTAAGCAATCCAAATACGTAAATATCCTTACTGAGGAAAATTGTGAATTTTTTTCAGCAATGGAGATTGAGTTTAATAGTGTTTATGGCAACTCAAAGGTGGTAAAACAGCAACTTTTGGAATTTTTGAGTCCAATAGCTGTGCATCATGGGGCCAGTTTTCTGTCCGCAGTAGCGGTCGCTTGGTATGAGCGAAGAAACCCATTTACTAGTGTTAAAGCTGTAAGTTTCTTTTTTTTGTATAGATTTATAGTTTATGGGCAATGAACTTCGTTTCAGGTGTTACCAGAACCTAACGCCGGCCAAAACAACCTAGTATACCTAATATCCGCCATTAGAGTAATTCCCTTAGATAATTTAGTACAAACTGTGACTGCTGTGATAAAACACCCTCCTCCTTGTGAAGGTCTTAGTTCCGATATTTGCCTAGACGTATCAATTTTAGAGTTATTTTATTGGTAAGAATCGCTGAAATGTTCGCATTGAAAGTCATTGATTTGGTTTTATTTTGCAGTTACATGCGTAATGCATCCGCTACCCAACTCTCAGAAGCTTGGAGCTCCTTGTTGGCACTCATCAGAGAAGTGAACGTTCTGAGTCCATCTGCGCAGTTCTTATTAGCAGCCATCCTGCACGAAATGATGATTAAGTGCTGCCCATTAGAGGAGAAGAAAGACCAGAAGGATCTTCAAGATGTAACAACTAAGGTTTGTTTTAAAGTTTCATGATAAATAATTGGAAAATTATTTTTTGGCTAATTTTAGCTTATCGACTGTGTGTCCCAAGTTTGCGGTTCCTGCCTCGAGCAGACCACTTGGCTGCGACGCAATTTTGCTGTTCGCGAACAGGATGAAGATTCCACCCCTGAAAATAGCATAACAAACGGAGCTCCTTCGAGTGATTTAATTTACAACTCCAGTCATAGCGTGCAAGCACAATTAGTAAGAAAGCTGGCAATTTCCTGGTTGAAATTTATTTAATGTTGTTTGTAGACATTGTCAGAAATCTTGGCCCCAATCCTGGACATTTGTTTTGGATCATCCGAAAAGGACAAAGTGAACAATATTCTGGCCTCTTTAATGTGCAACATCGTGCCCTATCTTAAGACACACACAGTCAAGAATATGCACAGTTTTAACGCCTGTTCGAAACTTTTATCCAGTCTAAGCAGCTACCAATATACTCGCAAAGCTTGGAAAAAGGACGTATTTGACTTGCTCCTGGACAATAGTCTCTTTCAGATGGATTATGCCTGCTTGAAGTACTGGAGGATAATTGTAGATAATTTGATGACTCATGACAATACGACATTCAGGGATTTGATGAGTAAGAAGTGATTTCCAGGTAGTTTTTTTTTTACTTAAATGCAACTATCTCTTAGATCGAGTATCAATGACCCAAAGTGGAACTTTGGGAATATTCTCTTCAAGGGAACAAGAGTATGAGCAGAAGGCACAACTTTTGAAAAGACTGGCCTACGTAATATTCTGTAGTGAAATTGACCAATATGCCAAGTATATGCCTGAAATTCAAGGTAGTTTTGCCAATACTATAATTACAATAATTGGAAATGCTAATTGTGTGAACTATTTTCTAGAACAATTAACTTCAAGCTTGAGACTGAACGTTCCTGGAATCCAAGCCCAGGTTTTTATGTGTTTCCGAGTTATCCTGATTCGAATGAGCCCCATGCAAGTGACCAGTCTTTGGCCAATCATAATCAGTGAAATGCTACAAGTATTCCTACAGATCGAACAGGAACTTAGTACCGACACCGAAGAATTCAAGTAAGTGAAATTTATTCAATTATTTGACTGTTTTGGACTTAACAGATTTTAAGATTGGTAGGTGATAGTATTTAACTGTTAAAATCGTTTGTCTAATAAGCCAAAGTAATTTGTTTTCGTTGAATGATTCAATTTTCGACCTAAAAACATGTATTTGAGTTACTGATATTAAATGTGCATTTAATGCAATGTATGTGCAGTCTGAGTTAAGTAGTATTAGGATACTGTTTGCAACTACTAAACTCTTCATGAATTTGGCCAAAAACTAGCTCGGGTTTAGTCAAATGCTTATCCGGCAAGCAGCAGTGGAAATCTCCTCAATTTCTCGTTTTGGCCAAAAGTTGAAGCATTTTGTACATGTAACATTTGTTTAATAATTCTTAACCATAATATTTGTTTTGTGCTTTACGCTGGGTTTGCTGGTTTCTACAGGACAAATAACAGGTAAATAATATTCGTTTTGTTATTTTCCCCATCTTTGCAGAGCATGCTCAAGCGCTTTTATCCTTTATGTTTTACTTTTCCATACAAGCTAATTTTTCTAAACGTTGCACGACTACTAATAGGTACAACCTTTTTCTTGTCTGTCCACTTGTACTTTATTACATTTTTCCATGTTTCATGTGTTTTACTTTTGATTCAGTTACGTTGATTATTTTTCTATTTTCATGGAAAACACTCAATCGGATTGTTTCACATATAGCTCTCACATCAAATTGCTGTCTTCATTGGACGCAAGTTGGACCACCAACAGTAGCAATGGATTACATGCTTTGGGCCATCCTCATTGGCTTCGATTACAACTGGCAACAGGAAAACTTTTGGATCTAGCACTTCTGTTACCCGCTACCACTTTGCCGCAATTTCAAATGTAAGCAAATTGTACATTTAAATTTTTACTTAACTAGTAAGCGCCTAAACTTTAAAATACTCCAAAAATTTCAAACGATCCACCGGGAAACGGCTTGAACAACAGGAATTTTTAACTGTTTTTTTTTACAAATTTTTGCTAACAAGTTCGAATTTTCAAGTTTTTGCAAATGCATGAGAATGAAGACTGTTTTACCCAAATTTGGAAAAAAAATAAACACTCGAAAATTCGTTTTTTTCAAGTAGTGCTGATTTGCTAGCATATAGGAAGCGCGGGTTTGAGATTGGATTAAATACTCCTTTTATTCTCTTAAGAAGCGTGGACCCGTAGTACATTTTAAGAAAATAAAAAATGTTTAATCTAGTCCCAAACCCGCGCTCCCAATATGCTGGCAAATCAGCACTATTAGACTTGAAAAAAGCGAACTTGAGTGTTTCTTTTTTGCAAATTTGGGTAAG